CTTCAAGTCTGAGGATAGTTATAGCAAGGTCGATTTGAGAATACTGATAAACACATTACTGTAGATCCATGCAGTATTCTCAAGATGGGTCAATCCAGTCACATATTATCAATATAATATGCACCTACGTACAGATTAAGATATCACAATACCTATAGTCTATGAGACGCAACTATCTCATCTCGTACGTACTAGTCTTGATACGTTATGATGTCCGTATTATCATAAAGTGCGACTAGGGATATTCTAGACACAGCCTTCGTCAAGAAGTAACAGTCTCATAATCAGAACATCGTAGTCCTCATCTATGTTACTGAAGCGCTATCGTCTATGGACTGAAGCTATGTTATGTTACACGAGATATAAAACATACTTCAAGGCCTTTCATTCATGATAAAGTGTACAGTTACATAGGTATTTGATTGCCGCTAGGGCACCTAAATACAACAATGCCTTCCCATCGATGGTTTAGCCTTCCCATCGCTGGGTAAGATCGTTCTGCCTTGTTTTGATGTTGGACCAAGGCTTTAACAGCGATGGGTAGAACTTCCCATCGCTGTTTGGCATGGTTCTGGAACTTGGTTGGGCTAGAGGACCGCTTACCCATCGATGCGTAGTTCTTCCCATCGCTGGGTGGGTGGTTAGTCAAAAACACATGGTTTTTGCCTGAAACACGGCCTAGCCAACCGATGCAAAAACCGACCGAAAAATCCAAAGTTCTCCAAAATAAAAACCAAGTTTTTAAAACACTTATTTGATGTATTTGGCTAAGAAATCAAGTGAGACACTTTAAAAACAACGTCATTTGGGTAAAAACCACGGCTAGTCAAGTTTATGCCGTTTTACGTGGTTTTTGCCAAATGACCAAAAACGAAAGGTGGTTTTCAAGGCGTTTTTGTTGGAGAACTGTTTAAACATGCCAAGTAGTAAAAACCAATCATAAAATGTTCAAAAACACTTGGTTGGTTCGGACGCCAAAAACCAATGCCGAAAACCGAATGCCGAACGCTGGTTTCTAAAAACCGAACGCCGGATGGCTTGGTTTTTGGTTTGGGCGAACACCAAGTGTTTTTAATGTTTTAAACATGTTTGAAAGACATTTTTATGATGTATGAGATGCAATGAAAAGATTTTAGCCTAAAGAGCCAAGGTGTAAAGATTGGGTCGGTCTTGATCACAACAAAGACCGACTCAACGATACTAAGACTATGGTCTTCGTTATTGGTCTTCGTTTAGCTCTTGTTCTTATCTTCGTTCTTCTCCTTGTATATTCACTTTGTGTCTTGATCACGGCGGTTTGGCATTATCAAAACCTGTCACAAAAACGAACACGGCTTTAGTACGAAAACGTGACAAGCCCGTGTTTCAACAGTTGTGTTCAAGTGTGAGGAGGAAATTTATCTGGTTGAAATGATTGAATGAAACGTGTTTTACATGTATACCTGTAGGCAACTTTGGTTTTAACATAATCATCAGTCTAATATTGAATAGTTAATTGATAGGTTGTCAAGCATATAAACTAGGAATTTTCAAAGTTTTGGCAAACTCTTATTTTTACCTTTTTTTTTCAAATAGACTACTACCATTGCTGAAATTAACTGGTATTTTCTTAAAAGTTTTCTTAAGTCAGATACTTTAATTACCTTTAAAAACCATTGATTTCACTAGAATTCTTAACAATGTGTAAAGGTGTGCACTTAATATTTGCTACTTGTAACCTTTAATTTTAATTTTCGTTAAGATTGCGCTTAAGTGACGAATTTGAAATTCTATCTCCAGAAAAGGGGCTCTGCGTCTTCCGCTAATCGCATAAGGCGAGGGAGCAAGTATGCATTTGTCATAGAATGAATCCACAATCTTGGTGAAATAGTTAAGTTCTTGTGAAATGAGAAGCCTTCTCGTCGAGAAACAATACGAATTGAAGTTATTATATTAAGACCTTTACATTATTGGCAATTATTCGTGAACAATGGGCTTTACAAAAGATAGTTGAATCTTTTTGGTCTTAACAATTCTTTTAAGAAATACATTCGTTTCAGTAAATGATTTACCTCTATTTGATTTAATCAAGTAAAAGTACATTCTTGGTGAAAACTTTGCATATTTTCAGAAAATATGAGAGACAACCCTAAAAATACAGCTATTTAACGAAGTCTGATGATTATGTTAGTTGAATTGGCCTCATAACTATGCAACTAAAGCTCTTTTCAGCAATAATAAGAGAATGTCATACCCTCAGTGATCTGAAGTTGTTGCTTGAGGGCAAGCAACGTTTAAGTGTGAGGAATTTGATAAGAGCATTTTGTTGTTATTTTGTTCAACATAATTTAAGCGTTTTTGCACGAAAATAGTGATAGGTAGTACATAATTTTATGTTAAACTGAACAATATCTTTGATTTGTTCTTGAAGGAATAATAATGGGTTTAAAATTGATCCAGTCTTGATTGTTGATTTTTCTACTTATATTTGTAAGAAAAAGAAGTTTTTAATTTTATCATGAGAATATCAGAGGAAGAAGAAACAAGTCATGAAGCCAAGTGAAAATGGAAATTGGGCCTGAATTGGGCCAAGCCGCGGAAAAGCTCACAGGGGAAGGCCCGAAGCGTCCAACCTTGGACGCTTTGCGGGTTGGACGCTTTGCCTTGGACGCTTGGCGATGATTGTGCATCACGAAAGACACGTGGCAGACAGCGAATGGACGGGACGCGTAAGGCGTCCAACTTTGGACGCTTTGGATCTGGACGGCTTGGGTTGGACGCTTTGCGTCCAGCCCTATAAATACAGCACTTCCCCCTCTACGATCCTGCAAGCTGAGCAGCGCCTCTTCACTCCCAAAAAATCCGAATTTCTCTTCTTTTATCCTAGATCTACAAGGTTACTCTCATATTTTAGATTAGTATAATTTTTTGGAGTTTTTCACGGAGCAAATTGTAGCCCGGACCTCTTGTTCTTCAGATCTGTTAAAGTAAGTTTTTTTTACTTTAATTCATCAATTGAAAAAATGCCTTCTCATTATGCTGTTGGAACACGGGTTACGCCTACGTCGTACTAAACCGTGTTCGTTTTATGACAGGTTTTGATAATGCCAAACCGCCGTGACAATAACAAGGTTAAAGTAAGCAAAACCAAGGCGAAGGAACATGGCATGATGAATTGAGAACCAAGAACCAAGAATCAAGAACGAAGACTTAGAATTGTATTGAGTCGGTTTTAATGTGATCAAGACCGGCACAAACCTTCAAAACATGGCTCTCTAGGCTCATTTCATCAAAATACTTTTTTGCATATTCAAAATGGTTTCTTAAGTCTTAAACCTGCCTAAAAACACTTGGAGTTCGCCCAAACCAAAAACCAAGCCATCCGGCATTCGGTCTTTAGAAACCGGCGTTCGGCCTTCGGTTATCGGTGCTGGTTTTTGGTGTCCGAACCAACCAAGTGGTTTTCAACTCTTAATGTTTTTTTTTTACTTCTGGGCATATTTAAATAGTTCTCCAACAAAAACGCCTCAAAAACCGTCCTTCGTTTTTGGTCGTTTAGTGAAAACCATGCGAAACGGCGTAAATTTGGCTAGCCGTGGTTTTCAACTAAATGACGTGGTTTTCAAAATGTTTTACTTGATTTCTTAGCAAAATGCATTGAACAAACATTTTCAATACTTAGTTTTTATTTTGGAAAACTTACATTTTGAGATCGGCTAATGGCATGACTAAACCAACCATGGGTCTGGCTAAACCAGCCAAACAGCGATGTTGGTGTAACCAACAGCGCTGTCTAGCATGGGTAGCTGAAAACCATGGTTTTGCGTTAAGTCTTCCAACAGCGATGTTGGTTGTTAGACATCGCTGTTGAGCCAAGGTTGGGTTTCCAGAAACATCTGGAACAGCGATGTAGCCTACCCTACATCCCTGTCCAACCTAAGCCAAAACCAAATACATTGGCAGAAAGTTTTTGGACAGCGCTGTTGACCCAGCAACAGCGATGTCAGGCCATTTCTTTCACTTTCAAATCAGGCCTAAACAGCGATGTTCAAGCAATGAACATCGATGTAGGCACCTGACCATTGGAAGGAATTTAAGGCCTAAACCTTCCTTGTTTGGAAGGCAACAGCCAAAACAGCGATGTAGAAGTTTTGGACATCGCTGTTGGCATAACCGTTGCTTCCCATTTTTCAAAACCCAAGCCTAGAACAGCGATGTCCAAGCCTAGGACAGCGCTGTCTGGGTGAATTTCAGCAGATCCAAATTTAATCAAATCCCACAAATTGTGTCAATCACCCCTTAAATGTTTTGATCCGTTGGAGCCTATTTTTCCACTATAAAATGGGGTGTTTGGGTCTGTTTTACATATCACATTACTTCACAACTCCTACTCTTTCATTGCAAATCATTCATCCTTTATTCATAGCTTTTTAGAGCCATTTTTGTGAAGTGTGTGCTGTGTTCTTGAGTGTTCTTAGTTACTCATTATCCACTCTAAAAGAGAGTATTGTTCTTGAGTGTTTTTAGTGTTCTTAGACACTTGACAAGAGAAAATATTTCTCTTGTTGTTCGAAGGAAGGGTTGTTTCCTTCGAAGGTTCGTTGAGGTTCGTGTGACTCGAACTCTTGTACGGGTTTGTTAAGCACCGTTAAGCTTAACGAGATAGTAGTGTAGCTCGAGAGAGTCTCTCGAGAGGCTGGACTAGCCACAAGTTGTGGTGAACCAGGGTAAAAACGGTGTGCTTCTTCCTTGCTCTTTACTTTACGCTTTTAATTTTTACTCCTGCGTCGTTTTTCGTTTCAAACGCTATTCACCCCTCCTCTAGCGTTGGGACGTTTTTCTAACAATTGGTATCAGAGCCTAACTCTCTTCCAGACTTAACCGTTTGAGAGCAATAAGATCATGGGCTATTCTTCTAGAAATTTGTATGCAGGTATTGGCGAAGGGCAATCCACCTCTAGGCCACCGCTTTTTGATGGCACAAACTACTCCTATTGGAAGGAACGGATGAGAATCTATATCCGTTCCACCAACTTCCAATTGTGGTTGGTCATCAAAAATGGTGAGCAAATCCCAATGAAGAAAGTGGGAGAAACCACCGTCCCAAAGACCGAGGACGAGTTTGATGCCGAAGACATCAAGAAGGTTGAAAACTATGCAGAGGCCATCAACATGCTATATTGTGCGGTCAACCCCGACGACTACCGAAAGATCTCCTGTTGCACAACCGCCAAGGAGATGTGGGACAAGCTTGAAGTGACGTACGAAGGTACCGATCAAGTGCGTGAAGCCAAGATCGATTTTCTCACCCAAGAATATGAAATGTTCCGAATGAAGGAAGGTGAGAAAATCGACGACATGTTTGATCGGTTCTCAAAGATTATAAATGATCTTCATGCTCTTAAGAAGACATATACCAACAAGGATCTCGTAAGGAAAATCCTGTGAAGTCTCACCCCCGAATGGAGATCAAAAGCCGATGCAATCTATGAATCCATTGGAGTCTCCAACATCACCATCGACGGGCTAAGAGGTAATCTTAAAACCTATGAATCTACTATTCTAACCCCGTCTTTGGATGAACAAAAGAAAAAGGGGATAGCTCTCAAAGCGACCAAGGAACTGGTGGAAGAGGTTTCTAGCGATGACGACAACAAGTTTGGACTCGTCATTAAGAAGTTTCACAAGTTCATGAAGAAGGAATTTGAGCGGAAGGGAAGAAAGCACGACGGTCCTCCCAAGTGCTACGGCTGTGGCGAGATTGGCCACATCAAGCCAAGGTGTCCAAAAGCCAAGCACGGCAAGGACAAGCCCGGCTTCAAGAAGCAAAGGGCTTACATCTCTTGGGGTGGCGATTCCAGCGACGAATCAACCGACCAAGAGGAGGACGAAGCTGCAAATCTTTGCCTCATGGCGCACGAAGATCAAAACGGTGACGTCCAAGAGGTATGTACCATTTCTTCCGACTCTTATACTTTTGAAGAAATGCAAGAAGCACTTCATGAACTTTATGAAGAATTTGTTAGCGCTTCCAAAACAAATAAATCTTTAAAGAAACGTCTTTCTACACTTGAAAACGATTTTGAAAAATTGGAAAAAGACAATGAAAAATTAAAACAAGAAAACAAATTTTTTGGAAAAAGAAGCGCTGACAAACCGGAAAGTTCCTCAAGTGAATGTGAATCTTGTAAGGCTTTAGAAGAACAAGTCACTAAACTTGAGAGCACGGTCAAGAAATTTATTACTCCGCACAAAGATTTAAATTTGCTCCTTGACACTATGCATTTTTCTAAGGAAGGAATAGGTTTCAATAAAAATGACGCTAAGGTTAAAGAAAACGTTGAGCCACCACCTAGACAACCATTGTTAGGGGAAAAACCAGGGGTCTAATGAAGTTGGTGTTTTGAGGTGGAAATATGTGATGATGAAGGGGAAATGGAGGTGCACTAAATTTATGGTAAAAAAAGGAGTTCTTTTGGGTGTTTTTAGTGGAAGAAAAGAATAAGATTAAGAAGAGAAATGGGGAGATAAGAAATGGAAGAAAAATCAGGGATGGATAAAACCAAGTTGGTGTTAAGAGATATTACACACCCTTATCTTAACTTGGGGTTTGAATCTAGAATTTAATTAAGATATGACACACTTAATCAAATATCTAGAACCTAAAACTCACACTTAAGATAACCACTCTTAAGATATAGAATTAGGAATTTGGCTAAAATAGCATCACACTATTTTAATAATACTCAAAGAGTAAAAGATTTTAATATTCAAAGGTTGTTTTACAATGGCCATAAGGCCTGAGTTATATAGGCAGGGAAAGGGGGAGATAATGCACAATACATTGAATGTAGACATTAGGAAACTTCCTAGCAACATCCTCTCTCAAATCCCTGAAATATCAGCCATGTTTTGAGGTCCTTTTATTGGGATAAAATCAGGGATGGGTGTGGTTGTAGGGCCTCCAATGAAAAGCAAACCAGGGGGAATGAATGGCCTTCTTTTGGGCTGATTTTGGGGGATGTATTCAGCCAACTAGGGGGACAATGGGAAAGGATAATGTGTGGTACTTTGGCTGCATATATGAGGATTTATTTGGTGGTTAAAGGGTTAAGAAAGTACCATGTTTCTCCTGGACTTTTATGGTTGTTTAGTGGGTTGTACTAGGGAACATAGTAGGGACCATGTTGGGTGGATGTTGGAAGATGAATGGGGCTGTTTTGGTTTCCTATTGTGACCAGGGATTAAAATAGATAGAAGAGACTTTATTTTGGATATCAAAAGGAAATAAAATACTTTTGGATGTTTGGGGTTGGGTTGGACGGAAAAGGGGGTTGACCAGCGGAACCCTTAGGTCAAAACGAAAGTTATTTTGGCCTTTCGGGCTAAAGGACATTGAATTCTCACTAAAATGGATCATAATGTTTGAACATAAGTCCTTTGGTTTCCATGAGGGTGTGGGATATGGGGGAGGGTATGATAGGCTCGGGCCCAGATATATCAACCATCTAAGGTTCAACGTAAGAAACCTAAAAATCAGAATAATAGAAAACCTAGTCAACCTAAGGACACTAGACAACCTAGACTAAAACCTAGGAATGAAAATTTTCATGGTAGACAACCTAAGAAAAATGATTTTGTGCATAAAACCAACTTTTCTCAAGATAGAAGAAATAATGTTAGAGCACCTAGAAGAGATCAATTTCAAAACTTTCAAAGACCATCTTTTCCACAAAATCGGAACAAAATGGTCAAACCCTCTAACTATTATGAGCCTAGGCACATGTACAACCCCAACGTAGTTTGCCATTATTGCAATAGGATAGGCCATATTGCTCCCGTTTGTTACACTAGGCATAGGCATCTATCACAAAATCAAGCACACTACCATCACACACCTAACACACGAGGACCCAACGTAAATTGGGTACCTAAAACTCATTGATGTGTTTCATAGGTGTTCTTGAAAGCATCAAGTGTACTTTGGTACCTTGATAGCGGATGCTCCAAGCACATGACCGAGGATGCATCCAAGTTTCTTCAAATTAAGCCAACTAAAGGAGGAAACGTAATTTTTGGAGATAATAGCAAGGGAAAGATTATCGGCATTGGTTCGGTAGGTAAATCTGAAAACTCCTCTATAGATAATGTCTTGCTTGTTAAAGGTCTTAAACACAATCTCTTGAGCATAAGTCAATTATGTGACAAGGGAAATTGTGTGACCTTCGACTCAAAATCATGCACGGTAGAATGCCTTAGTGACAATAAGGTCATTCTACGTGGTGATAGAATCGATAATATTTATATGGTTAACTTAGACAAATCTCCTTCCGGCTTTGCTAAGTGCCTCATGAGTAAAGAAGAAGACACTTGGTTATGGCACCGAAAAGTAGCTCACATGAACATGAACCTCTTGAATAAATTGGTTTCACAAGACTTAGTAATTGGCATTCCAAAACTCAAGTTTGAAAAAGACACCATTTGTGATGCATGTCAAAAGGGGAAGTAAGTCCGGGCTTCATTCAAGTCTAAAAACGTTGTTTCAACGTCTAGACCGCTTCAACTTTTGCACATGGATCTCTTTGGTCCTTCTAGAACGAAGAGTTTTGGTGGTAATTACTTTGTGTTTGTGATTGTCGATGACTACTCTAGGTTTACATGGACCTTGTTTCTTACTCATAAAAGTGAGGCATTTCATGTTTTCAAAAATTTTCTAAAGAAAGTTCAAAATGAAAAAGACACAACCATAGTAGCCATAAGAAGCGACCATGGGGGAGAGTTCGAACAAAATATGTTTTCAAATTTGTGTGACAAACTTGGCATTGATCATAACTTCTCAGCCCCACGTACACCACAACAAAATGGAGTGGTGGAACGTAAAAATAGATGTCTCGAAGAGATGGCTAGAACTATGATCAATGAGGCAAAAATCCCTAAGTATTTTTGGGCGGATGCCGTGAGTACTGCGAGCTGCGTGTTAAACCGAGCCGTCATTCGACCGATACTCATGAAAACGCCCTATGAATTATACAAAGGGAGAAAGCCAAACCTTTCCCATCTTCGAGTCTTTGGTTGCAAATGTTTTATTCATAATAACGGCAAAGATAACTTAGGAAAATTTGATGCCTAGTCGGACGAAGGGATTTTTCTCGGTTACTCACTTCGTAGCAAGGCCTATAGAGTGTTTAATAAACGTACTTTGACTATTGAGGAGTCCCCTCACATTGTGTTTTCCGAAGATAATACTCGCTTGGCGAGAAAGGCTATTTGTGATGATCTTGCAGATTCACTTGAAAAATTACACATTGAAGACGATGAAGAAGACACACCATTATACACCAATCCGGAACCACAACCTAAGGAAACACCTCAAGTGATGGTCGAAAATGAGGACCAAGCGAACGAAGAAGAACAAGAGGAAGCCCAGGAACAAGAGGAAACGGAGCTTCCCATCGCTTGGAGAACGAACAAGAATCATCCACTTGACCAGGTAATCGGCAGCATCAATCGCGGGGTAAGTACTCGTAACTCACTTAGGGATACCGTAGGACACATGGCTTTTATTTCTCAAATTGAACCTACAACCATTTCCGAAGCAATAAACGATGAACATTGGACCTTGGCTATGCAAGAGGAGCTAAACCAATTCAAACGAAATGACGTTTGGGAATTGGTGCCAAGGCCCGATGATCGTACGATTATTGGTACGAAATGGGTGTTCCGTAACAAACTTGATGAAAATGGAATAATCACTAGAAACAAAGCTAGGCTCGTAGCTAAAGGCTACAATCAAGAAGAAGGCATTGATTTTGAAGAAACTTATGCACCCGTAGCCCGTTTAGAAGCTATTCGCTTACTTCTTGCTTTTGCTTCATCTATGGATTTTAAGCTTTATCAAATGGATGTTAAGAGTGCCTTCCTCAATGGTTTTATTCAAGAGGAAGTGTATGTTGACAGCCCCCGGGGTTTGAAGACTTTGAGTTTCCCGACCATGTCTTCAAACTCAAGAAAGAGCTCTACGGTCTTAAACAAGCACCCCGTGCTTGGTATGAACGTTTGAGTAAATTTCTATTGGATAGTGGTTTCCAAAGGGGAAAGGTTGACACCACACTTTTTATCAAGAGTAAAAACAATAACATCCTCTTGGTTCAAGTTTACGTAGACAATATTATATTCGGTGCTACTAACGAGTCTTTGTGCAAGGAATTCTCAACGTTAATGACAAGTAAATTCGAAATGTCAATGATGGGCGAGCTCACATTCTTTTTGGGACTCCAAGTCAAGCAAATGAAAGATGGCACGTTCATTTGCCAAGCTAAATATTGCAAGGAGCTCCTAAAACGGTTTGAAATGGACAACGTCAAAGCCATGTCGGCCCCGATGAGCACGTCTGACCATCTTGACAAAGACGAGAAAGGTAAGGAGGTAGAAGTCAAAAAGTATCAAGGTATGATCGGATCCCTTCCCTATCTTACCGCTAGTAGGCCGGATATCATGTTTAGCGTATGCCTTTGCGCAAGGTATCAATCGTGTCCGAAGGAATCGCACTTAACGGCGGTGAAACGGATCAAAAAATACCTTTTCGGCACGGTTAACGTTGGACTGTGGTATCCAAAAGGCTCTTCTTGTCATCTCGTTGGTTACTCCGACTCGGACTTTGCCGGTTGCAAATTTGACCGTAAAAGTACGAGTGGGACTTGCCACTTACTTGGTAGCTCTCTAGTCTCATGGTTTAGTAAGAAACAAGTCAGTGTTGCGTTATCCACAACCGAAGCGGAATATGTAGCCGCCGGTAGTTGTTGTGCTCAAATCCTTTGGATGAAGCAACAACTCGTGGACTATGGCCTTAGTATCAATCACGTTCCTCTTCGTTGTGATAATACTAGCGTCATAAGCTTGACGAAGAACCCCGTTCTTCATTCAAGGACGAAACACATTGACATTAGGCATCATTTCATTAGAGATCATGTTCTCAAAGGTGATGTCGAAATTGAGTTTGTTGAAACACACAACCAATTAGCTGACATCTTCACAAAACCTTTAGAGAAAGAGTCGTTCTTCCGCATTCGAAGTGAACTCGGAATCCTTGACTCCACGATGATCTAAGTTGTGCATCTTAACTTGTTAAACGTTTACTAACTTGAGCGTCGGAGAACTTTTTCTTTTTTTGCAGGTACCCCGTTCATGAAATCAGGAGGAACCATGCAAACAGCGCTGTCCAGGAGACCCAACAACACTGTTGAGAGAAACACCGTCAACCAGTTTGAGCCAACAGCGCTGTACAACACTGCAACAGTGCTGTCACAGGGAGTCCCTTTACTCTATACTTTCCTGAATCTCTTTCAACAGCGCAGTCCCTTTTTTCCAACATCGTTGTCTACCCAAAACACCTTGTTTTCAACCAAAACTAGAAACTTTTCAAACAGCGCTGTCCCCCTATTCAACAGCGCTGTCTATTTTTACAAATTTTTTTCCTATTGTAAAACAGCGATGTAGGGAAACCCAACAGCGCTGTTCTAATGGGTTCAACCCCTTACATATTTCCAGAAACTTTGGGAACATCGCTGTCCATTTGACACTTGTTTTTAAAAACTAGTCGCACAACAGCGCTGTCTGGAAGCTTAACAGCGCTGTCTGGAAAGCGATGTAGCATAGGGGACATCGCTATTCTAACTGAATTTTTCAAAAAAAAAAAATTACCCGTTGGCAACAGCATTTATTGCTCCAACAGCCATATTTTTGAAAGTTTGGACGTTGGAAACCTTTTTTCCTATAAATTGGGACCCCCTCTCCTCACTTTTACACACACAAACACCATTCTCTTCAATATCTTTACATATTTCATCTTCTCTACTCTAATCTTTTGAGATTTCTTCACCATGGGCAAAGACAAGAGCAAGGCTGCCCCCTCCAGGAAATCCAAGTCCAAATCCCGGGCACCGTCAACAAACTCCGAGGAGCGCCTCTACTACGGCGACGGATCGTATCTCTTGTTCGATTCCGAGGAGGAGCGCACCCGTTTCATCACCTTCTTCTCTAAACGGGTTGTGGCTCCCCCGCGGATTGTCCCGGAGCGCCTCCTGGAGTTGCAGGGCTACAACGATCTAGACGCGCAGCTTCACCAAGCCGGCCTTTAGCCGTTCGTCTCCCGGACTCGGAAGGAGATCAACCTAGCACAAATTCGGGTCTTCTACTCCAACCTCCGCCGTGAGGGCGACGTGCTCTACTCTCTTGTCAAGAGCACGCCGATAGAGCTTTCCATTGAGCAGCTTGGGCGCATCGCCGGCCTCCCCTACCAAGGCGACGACGTCTCCCACTATGGCGGAGAGGACTGGGTGCTCAACAAAGAGGGCCTTATCCTCAACGAGCTTGGCATCACCGAGCTCATCCGCCATGCCTCGGGCCGCCCCACTATCCACTCCGCAAACCCCGAGAGCCGGCTTCTTCTCTACATCGTGTCCCGAATCATCAAGCCCCAGAAGCATGGGCACACGATCATGTCCGGTGAGGACCTCAAGCTCCTCCATGCGATCATGCACTCGGCGCCAATCAATTGGGCGAAGTTTGTCATGATCAACATGACAGTCGCCGCGTCCACCGACCACGATCACCTCCTCTCGTACCCGTTCGTGGTGATGGACATCCTTGAACGGTTCAAGGTGACCACCACCGTTGGCCCACTCACGAAGGCCACGAAGATCTGGGCGATCAGCACCCAAACCTTCAAGAAGCGGTCGGACAACGCCGGACCTGCCACTGCCCCTGCCGTGCCACGGCGCCATTCTACTGCTGGCCCAGCCGAACCCCAGGCCCGGGCCAACCTTGCCTCCATCGCCGACTCCCTCAACCGGCTTCACTTCAAAGTTGACGGGATGGATGGCTACCTTGAGCGGCTCGACGAGGCTGTTCAACGCCAAGGGCATGCCATGAACGCATACTTCCAACGCGTCAACTACGTCCCCCCACCGTACCAAGGCACGTTCCTTAGGAAAGTGTACGGTGACGAGGACGAAGAGGATGGCTCCTACGCCCCGTCAAACTCCCCGGACGAGGACGAGTTTGATGACGCCGTTGACGGCGATGAGATGGACGTTGACGACGACGAGGAGGAAACCGAAGCCGAAGACTAGGACACCCCTAGAAATTCTATTTTTTATTCTCGTCCTCTTTTTTTTAAATGCTTCCGTTGTACTCCGCTATTTCCCATTTTCAATAAATAAAAATTATCCTTTTATCTTTTTGTTAATGTCAAAAGGGGGAAGAAAAGGGCTATGCATATACTAAGGGGAACGCCTCTAAAAACGAGACCGTTTGATTTTAATCCGACTAATTTCTTTTAAGCACAAATTAAGGGGGAACTTTTTCAAAAATTTTTGAAAATCATATATCCCTTAGTATGCATATCCCCGTCTTGTTTGCCATTATCAAAAAGGGGGAAATTGTTGGAACACGGGTTACGCCTACGTCGTACTAAACCGTGTTCGTTTTATGACAGGTTTTGATAATGCCAAACCGCCGTGACAATAACAAGGTTAAAGTAAGCAAAACCAAGGCGAAGGAACATGGCATGATGAATTGAGAACCAATAACCAAGAATCAAGAACGAAGACTTAGAATTGTATTGAGTCGGTTTTAATGTGATCAAGACCGGCACAAACCTTCAAAACATGGCTCTCTAGGCTCATTTCATCAAAATACTTTTTTGCATATTCAAAATGGTTTTCTTAAGTCTTAAACCTGCCTAAAAACACTTGGAGTTCGCCCAAACCAAAAACCAAGCCATCCGGCGTTCGGTCTTCAGAAACCGGCGTTCGGCCTTCGGTTATCGGCGTTGGTTTTTGGTGTCCGAACCAACCAAGTGGTTTTCAACTCTTAATGTTTGGTTTTTACTTCTGGGAATATTTAAATAGTTCTCCAACAAAAATCCCTCAAAAACCATCCTTTGTTTTTGGTCGTTTAGTGAAAACCATGTGAAACAGCGTAAACTTGGCTAGCCGTGGTTTTCAACTAAATGACGTGATTTTCAAAATGTTTTACTTGATTTCTTAGCAAAATGCATTAAACAAACATTTTCAATACTTAGTTTTTATTTTGGAGAACTTACATTTTTGAGATCGGCTAACGGAATGACTAAACCAACCATGGGTCTGGCTAAACCAGCCACACAGCGATGTTGGTGTAACCAACAGCGCTGTCTAGCATGAATAGCTGAAAACCATGGTTTTGTGTTAAGTCTTCCAACAGCGATGTTGGTTGTTAGACATCGCTGTTGAGCCAAGGTTGGGTTTCCAGAAACATCTGGAGCAAACAATGTAGCCTACCCTACATCGCTGTCCAACCTAAGCCAAAACCAAATACATTGGCAGAAAGTTTTTGGACAACGCTGTTGACCCAGCAACAGCGATGTTAGGCCATTTCTTTCACTTTCAAAGTCAGGCCTAAACAGCGATGTTCAAGCAATGAACATCGATGTAGGCACCTGACCGTTGGAAGGAATTTAAGGCCTAAACCTTCCTTGTTTGGAAGTCAACAGCCAAAACAGCGATGTAGAAGTTTTGGACATCGCTGTTGGCATGAGCGTTGCTTCCCATTTTTCAAAACCCAAGCCTAGAACAGCGATGTCTGGGTGAATTTCAGCAGATCCAAATTTAATCAAATCCCACAAATTGTGTCAATCAACCCTTAAATGTCTTGATCCGTTGGAGCCTATTTTTCCACTATAAAATGGGGTGTTTGGGTCTGTTTTACATATCACATTACTTCACAACTCTTATTCTTTCATTGCAAATCATTCATCCTTTATTCATAGCTTTTTAGAGCCATTTTTGTGAAGCGTGTGCTGTGTTCTTGAGCGTTCTTAGTTACTCATTATCCACTCTAAAAGAGAGTATTGTTCTTGAGTGTTTTTAGTGTTCTTAGACACTTGACAAGAGAAAATATTTCTCTTGTTGTTCAAAGGAAGGGTTGTTTCCTTCGAAGGTTCGTTGAGGTTCGTGTGACTCGAACTCTCAAGTTGTACGGGTTTGTTAAGCACCGTTAAGCTTAACGAGATAGTAGTGTAGCTCGAGAGAGTCTCTCGGGAGGCTACACTAGCCACAAGTTGTGGTGAACCAGGGTAAAAATGGCGTGCTTCTTCCTTGCTCTTTACTTTACGCTTTTAATTTTTACTCCTGCGTCGTTTTTCGTTTCAAACGCTATTCACCCCCCCTCTAGCGTTGGGACGTTTTTCTAACTATGCTTGTGTGTTAAAGGCTTTAGTTATGAGTAGCTAAATTAATTAGGGATGTAACTTATGGTATGGTGATGGTAATTTTTTGGTAAAATCGTTGAGTTGAACTATTTTGCTGACAAAGGCAATTGACTAGTTTTTATTACTGAGAATTTATATTTGAGATTTGTAAATCGAGAGAAAGCAAATCTATTCTTGAAAATTATATTTCTTGAGAAATCTGGAAATTAATTAAGTCAAGTACTGTAATTTTGATAATTAATCTCTAGACATTGGATTAATTGTTAAGTGAATATTTGAAAAAGTATTTACTTACTAGTAAAAAGATTTAAAGTAAAAGTCACTGATGATTACACTCTTAAAAGAACCATCACCTAACCAATAATTACATCCCTACTTTTTATTCCTGAAAGGTTAAAAATCATTTTTCATTCCTTATCCGACTTCTTGAAAACTTTTCGATTCAACAAGTAAATCTTGTCTAGCTAGTCTTGCTTAACTTTCCCTTGGGGCGATCCTTGATACGACACGGGATAAACTGATCTTTAAGATCTAGTCTGTTCTCTTTACTACTACGGGAATTTTGAGTTCAACCAAAATTCTTCATCAGTTTGGCTTTTAGAAACCGGCGTTGGTTTTTGGCGTTCGAACCAACCAAGTGGTTTTCAACTTTTTATGATTGGTTTTTACTTCTGGGAATATTTAAATAGTTCTCCAACTAAAACACTTCAAAAACCACCTTTCGTTTCTGGTCATTTAGTAAAAACCATACAAAACGGCGTAAACTTGGCTAGCCGTGGTTCTTATCTAAATGATGTGCTTTTCAAGATGTTTCAGTTGATTTCTTAGCAAAATGCATTAAAAAAAATGTTTTCAACACTTGGTTTTTACTTTGGAGAACTTGAATTTTTGACATCGGCTGACGGCATGACTAAACCAGCCATGGGTCTAGCTAAACCAGCCCAACAGCGATGTTGGAGTAACCAACAGCGCTGTTTGGCGTTGGCAGCTGAAAACCATGATTTGGTGTTAAGTTGTCCAACAACGATGTTGGTCAATGGACATCGCTGTTGAGCCAAGGTTGGATTTCTAGAAACATCTGGAACAACGATGTAGACTCCTCTACATCGATGTCCAACCTAAGCCAAAAGAAAATGCCTTTGGCCAAAAGTTTTTGGACAGCGCTGTTGACCCAGCGAGAGCGATGTCAAGCCATTCTTCACCATTCAAAGTCAGGCCTGAACAGCGATATTCAAGTAATGAACATCGATGTAGGCACCTGACTGTTGGAAGGAATTTATGGCTGAAACTTTCCATGCAGCGATGTAGGCATCTTGGACATCGCTGTTGGCTTGACCGTTGCTTCCTGATTTTCAAAAATTAAGCCTACAACAGCAATGTCTAAGGTACGGACAGTGCTGTCAGGCTAATTTTCAGCAGATCCAATTTTAATCAAATCCCACAAATTGTGCTAATCACCCCCATTCAACTCCTACCCGTTGGATTATATTTTTCTACTATAAAATGGGGTGTTTGGGTCTGCTTTACACATCATATTACTTCACAACTCCTATTATTCATTGCATTACATTCATACATTCTTCATAGCTTTTCGAGAGCCATTTTTGTGAAGTTTGTGTTGTGTTCTTGAGCGTTTTTAGTTACTCATTATCCACTCTAAAAGAGAGTATTTTTCTTGAGTGATTTAGTGTTTTTAGACACTTGATAAGAGAAAGTTTTTCTCTTGAGTAGTTCGAAGGAAGGGCTGTTTCCTTCGAAGGTTTGTTGAGGTTCGTGTGACTCGAACTCTCAAGTTGTACGGGTTTGTTAAGCACCGTTAAGCTTAACGTTGATAGTGTAGCTCGAGAGAGTCTCTCGGGAGGCTAGACTAGCCACACATTATGGTGAACCAGGGTAAAAACGGTGTGCCTTTTCCTTGCTCTTTACTTTACGCTTTTAAATTTTTATTCCTGCGTCATTTTTGTTTCAAACGCTATTCACCCCCCTCTAGTGTTGGGACGTTTTTCTAATACCAGTAACTTGTTTGGCTTCACTAGGAAGACTCAAACAAGGTTTGGCAACAACCCTTGCCAATAAGCAAATGAGATTCTACACCGGTTATCTCAACCGTTTACAGACTGAAGATTTAAAGGCTACCTTCAACCTTACAATGAGGATTTAAAGGCAATCCACACTTTTTACAAAACAATGAAAAATGGTTGTTGCTTTTCTACCAAGATAACAAATAATATGATTGGGTAGGAGAAGAACAAAGTATTAAAAAACAACAACAATAGCCTATGAGAAAGATATAAATGATGAAACACAAATCCCTTGGTGTGTGAGTGTTAAAAATATAAAGAGCAAAGCTTTATTTCAAAAGGAGTATATAAAAAATAAGGAACTTAAAGCTTAAAGCACTCAAGAAATCAAGAAGGAGCTTGTAGAATGTATTGTATGTTAAGGGATGTTGTTGTGTATTAAGGAGAGGCTTAGGAGAGGTATATATAGTGTTTAGGGAGTTTAAAAATAGGTTTCAGCTGTTAGAGGGATGTAGGGATCCAATTAGGAGTGATTGAGATCAATTAGATCAATCAGCTACAGTAGCCCAACGGATTCAGTACATGTAATGGTACGTTGGTACCGTACCAGTAGGGGGTACCGCTACAGGCGGTAGGATGTCCTGTGAGGGGTCCAGTTTGAAGACTCAAACTTGGCTTTCCTAAGCCTTAGGCGGTACCTAGGTAACGTTGAAACAGTATGGGGTACCGCTACAATGGAGTTTAGGCTGTTTATCTGACTAATGGTCGGTAGGGTCACGGTAGGGGGTACCGCCATAGTGCAAACCTATGAGGTACCGTTTGATCCCTTTTGGAAACTTGGTCAAGTCTTCCGGACGGTACCTTGTTGATGTGCCTAGGTGCCTAACGGTAGCAAGGTACCGTTGGCACGGTATGGGGTACTATCTAGCCTGTTTTCAATCCAAAATTGATTTTGTTCCAAATTTTTGAAAACGACCCAACCAAAACAATGTTTGTAAACTTTTGGAA